ACAGCTCTGACCAGGGTATATAAGCATCCCTCTGCACATGCTGACATTCACACACAGGATCTTGCCTTGAACAGCAAACCTAACTCACCCCACTGACAGCATGACCTACTACAGCAGCTACTATGGAGGCCTGGGCTATGGCTATGGAGGCTTTGGTGGCCTGGGCTATGGCTATGGCTGTGGATGTGGCAGCTTCCGTAGACTGGGCTACGGTTGTGGCTGTGGATACGGCTCTGGCTATGGAGGCTTTAGATATGGCTGCTGTCGCCCATCTTGCTATGGAGGATACTCATCCTATGGCTTCTACTGANCAATACTGTGTGATTCTGAGTATGTGACATTCTGGAGGAGGAAAACTATGTAGAGGAAAAATAGATTAGTATTTTCCAGGAGTTTGGGAGAAATGGGGAAAGAGTAGATGAAGCACAGGGGATTTTCACGGCAGTATAACTTTTCTGTATCATACTGTAATAGTGATTACATGAGTTTATAAATTTGTCAAATTCCGTAGATCTGTACAAAACACAAAGAGTGAATCCTAATGTAAACTATGGATGTTAACTAATAATTATGTATGAATATTGACTCATCAGTTATAAAAAATGATTTTCTTAAAAATATTTCTAAGTAGCATGCAAGGGCCGGCCTGGTGGCGCACTGCTACAGTGCGCTGCTTGAGAGCGGGGAGGCGCTCCCGCCGAGGGTTCGGATCCCACATACAGGCCGGTTCCCGCTCACTGGCTGAGCGAGGTGCGGGCGCTACACCGAGGGTTGCGATCGCGTTGCCGGTCGAGGTCCGGTATGGGCGCAACACTGAGGGTTGCGATCCATTGCCGGACATGAAAAAAGACAAAAAAGAAAAAAATAAATAAATAATTAAAAGTAGCATACAAAACAAAATAGTAGTTATGACGGTCTAAAATTAAAGGAAAAAATTGTCCTTTTTTTGTTTTCTAGAGGTCTTTACTGGTCTTCATAAGAGTTGGGTTGAAACCTCTTGACTTCCAGATTTTTATTTTGTCATATTCAAAGGAAATAGGTAATTCGCCTTTTAGACTGAGAAATAAATGTCTGTAAAAGAATATGTGAGATTGTACAGGTTTAAATTTGGCCCATTTTTAAATTTAATTTGTAAGTGAAGCATATCAATCCAAGCAATACTGAAGATGAACAAATACTTAATTGAAAAACCACAGTATTATTAAACATGATTGGTGAAATATGCCTAGCTATGAAGAATTCTATTTGGGGTCTGGTATGTCCAGAATTTGAATATACAGCAATTTCTTCTCATTAAGTCATGCAACATCTTTAGGGCAACCCTAACTAGGCAACAAAGCAAGCTCCAACAATTTAATGAATGTAAACCCCACTCCCTGTGTCAGCAGACAATGAATTTATGAGTCATATTAAGTAACTGTAAGGAAACAAATGATGCAAAAGAAGGGTACACACGTGATTTATCACAGC